GAAAGGAGAAGGGTAGGTTTCCAGACAGCCAGAACTTCCACCTGCTTTTGATAAAAAATACGGGGAGATGTTGACTGCCATGTATGATGGTGCTGTGTTAAGAATTATGATTTTTTGTTAACTTAACTTAAATTTTGTAGTTTTGAAAATGAGTTGTTTGTTTGATCTTCTGGAAAAGACTGCATTCAGGGCTATGCGGAAAGTTCGTATTATTTTTATTCGTTTCATTCGTTTGTTGTCCGGATCATCAAGAAATAAATTATTGCGTTTAGTAGCGCACGGCCCGCGTTACCCTCTGTCCATCCGGTCGAGGTACCCTCCGTCGAGCGCCCCCGTTCTCCCGCCTTACGTTCTTACGCCCGTATACGTCGCGTGACGTATCTGAATTCTAATCTACGTGTTTAGTGCTGCGCGGACGCAGAACCTGTCCAGACGTGTGTGCTTACTTCCATTGCAAACAAGCAATGATGATCTGTTGATGATGATCCGTATAGCACACAATGCAGCCTGAAGGTGCATCATACAATTCACTTAATTGATGACGACGAGAAATCGAACGTTAGTATTAGTTTTTTTTAATCATTAAGTTCATTTATTAATTTTTTATTGTTAAGTTAATAATTTTGTAATATTTATCTTTTTTTTTTTTGATAGCTTATGTTTTGAATTAAATACACTCCTTATTCAAAGTAACCTGCTCGTTTGGCTGCTGTCCCATAAAAAAATAAAAACAGAATGATATCTTATTTGAAACGTTAAAACCAGTTCAGAGCAAAATACTTAGAACACTCAAATGCACTTAGTGAAAGATATGGTCTACAGAAAACTAATAGTTTTAATAGAAAATCTCTGTTAACACAGCTATTATAAACCAATTCCTTTAGTTAAAAAAAAACGTATATACGAAATCAGAGTAGGTATCTTATTATTAATGTATCTATATTATGTACCACAAAGTATATTAAATTAAGAAAAAAACACGACGTAATCGTTATATGAAAGCTTATATAACGTCACCGCAGCTCGAATAATTTCTCATATTCCTCTGTGCACCTGTATCCGAAACAAACTCTTTGTAAATATTACTAGACGGCTTTAGAGATACGTAAATTCAGGATGACTTATGTTTCTTCTGGCCGCAGCTGTGTTGGTTACATTTTTTTGTGGTCTCATTAACAATAAGGTTATATTTCAGCCTATATGATAAACATAATTAATTATATATTTTCCTTAGGATTACACCATTTATTGGTGAAAACAGTACAAAAATCTAAAAAAATATTAAGTTTTAGTTTTATTATTTACTTTTTCGCGTTTATACAGACACTGATGCGGCTGGAAGTGTTCATTTAAGTACCGATAAATTTTTAAACTCTGCCCTGCATCTCGAAAAATCTACTAGCGATCTGTCAATGTATTGTCAAAATATTAATGATTTTTACACGAACAAGACAACATTTTAAAATTAAAACCAATATTATTGAACATTGTATTGTTATTGCTTAAACAAAAAATATTATCTATTTTGGTAGACTTGGAACTGTTGTATTTTGTCAAGGCAATTTTGTTTATATATATTTAAACTGAATTGAAACTTTATACTTATTTAAGTATTATTATTATTAAAAATCTGCCTTTTAATTTTTACAAATTTATCTATGCCTCAAATAATGCAAGGATAACAATTTCTCATAAACTAACTGATAAACACGGACAGATAAAATGAAGGCACAGAAATATGTATGTATATATGTATACCAGTTCAGAAAAATTATCAAAGTTTTACTCTACGGAACCTACTAGTTTATATTCATCGCACTTAGTTCCACAATATTCCTCTCATATACGGAAACTCAAACGAAAGAAACGAGCTAAGTACACGGACGCGAGAGCGCACTCGAGACGTTCCGACGCATTTTAATTTTATTTTCCATTAACACTCAGCTCTACTTTACTATATCCTGTGTTATAGTATAAAGTATTCATTCAAAAGAAATTCTCACAATTATCTTCCGTATTCGTTACAATTTTCTCTCCAGAATTAATAATAATCCTATGGCGCTACCGTTGAATTGCTGGGAGCTTATATTGATGTGTATGTTACTGGATTTAATATCGTGGGGAAGAAATTATTACTGCAGCAAGATATGAACAAACCGTCCATCTTCGGGCGACTTAGGGGCCTTCAAGAAAAGAGCGTACCATTCCCTGAAACATCGGCAACACATCCGCTGGCAATACACAATACACCCGATGGAAAGACGACGTTTCGGAAACTGCTGGCCCTTATTGTATTCAGGTGGGTTGTGTAAGGAAAAAATGACATTCCTTAGAGTAGGCCTGTATATACATTATACATGGTTAGTAGGTACGTAAGTTAAGAGAGTTTCTGCTACAATTAATAACGTATAATTTAATAAATGTTTGTATAATCATATTGTTCATTTTAGTAAGAAATTATTTTTTTTTATACTATGACTATCCGGAAATTTGTTGTGTAGGATCTAAGAGTACTTCATTTAAATTTACCATTATTAATTAAATGAGTTTCCTATTATATTCAAGCAAATATCGTATATTATTATTATCATCGATTAAATATATAAATTTTATTTTAATAATTAATTAATAATATGAATTAACGCTGATTGTCCATATTAAAGATTAAAGGGAGACAAGAGCATTTCTCAAGTAAAGTGCTCTCAATATTTCAATGTCTACCTAAATTATTATTAATATCAACCATAATGGCTCGCTCAATTTTAAACTTTAATTAAGTGTGCCATAGACTAGTCGATAGCGATACTCAACTCAGAGGTTGTGAGTTTGAATGAAGACTCGCTACGGAATATGAAGGCAAGTATTAGACCGTACTGTTGCACATAGTATTGTCTTTGATTAACATAACTTTTATTAAGTATTAGACCTACAAATATAAGTGTGTCGTGAGTTATGTTACCTTACATTAGTTAGGTTACATATATATATCTTACACTTGAAGCCAACAAATTGTAAATCGTCAGTTTTGCTAGTAATAAATGAGCCCTTTTACATACATTCATAAATTGTAATATAACATTCGCGTTTCTGATAATGTACAATATGTCGACATCGCTTACATGCTTTATAAGTAACAGATGTGTCATTTGGAAAAAATCTGTAGCGCTACAACCTTTTTAGGTCTGGGCCTCAGATTTCTGCATCTATTTCATGATCATTTGTTCATCTAATAGGCAAGAAGGTGATCATCTTCCTGTGCCTGACGCACGCCGTCGACTTTTTGGGTCTAAGGTACTATGCCGGTTACCTCGCGATGTTTTTCTTCACCGTTCGAGCGAATGTTAAATGCGCACATAGAAAGAAAGTCCATTGGTGCACAGCCGGGGATCGAACCTACGACCTCAGGGATGAGAGTCGCACGCTGAAGCCATTAGATAGAGAACCACCACGTAATTTGCGATTATCAGTATGGTTTTCGCCGTGGTCGCTCAGCTGGTGACCTCCATGTATACCTTACACATGGATGGGCAGAGGCAATTGAGTTCAAGGGGGAGGCACTGGTGGTAAGTTTGGTCATAGCGAAAGCCTTCGATCGGATGTTGCACAGAGCACTTCTCTCGAAGCTTCCAGCCTATGGGCTCCCCGAGAAATTATGCAACTGAGCATCGAGGTAGTCATTGAACGTTAAGCCTGTGAACGCTGCTGTCCCACAAGGCTATGTCCTATCCCCGACCCTGTTTATTCTGCATATAAATGATATGTTGCAACTTAGCAACATTCATTGTTATGCGGACGATAGCACTGGGGATACTCTTTACACTAGCCGGGCAGGTAGTTCTGGGGCAGTTGTCGAAGAGTACTGGAACAAACTTGTGTCTGAAGTCGAAACTCTGCTACGTGGAGTCACGGACTGGGGTAGACTAAATCTAAATAAACACCCTTTGTGTCTCCTCTTTTCGAAGACACTCTCTTTATAGCCTCAACTACCATCAGAATACGAAGAAGTTAGCATCTAAAAAGCTTCTTAGAGGCTAACTTCGCCTTTCCTTGCTTGCTTGATGTGCTCAGCAAGGCGAGAGGGTACACTTGGTACACTCCGGGCCACCGCTTGCAACTTTATAAAGCGCAAATTCGGCCCCACATGGAGTACTGTTCTCACCTCAGGGTGGGAGTACCAGCTTCTTCCGCTTGACCGTATTCCACGAAGAGTGATTCGAAAAGCAGTTCTAACGTTATATAAATAATTAATAAATTGCGTTCATACTTTTTTTTAATATATATTCTATTTAAAATTACAATCAAGTCTGAAACTATCAAAAACCGAGTTAACTGAAAATCATATTGACTAAGCGCCAGTTTAATAAGCGAACATGACGTCTTTTCCATTCATTTCCATAGACAAGATCCCAACGGGCTTTAAATGAACTGTCATCAATCAATCATTGTCGGACGCAGATTTTTTATTTCATTAACAGCCATTAGGAACCCATTTGTGTTTATATTTCGTTACACGAATACCCTTTCACTGCTTGAATTTTACGCTATTTGTAAACGATTGTAGGTCATTTTCTCTTGTGTTAAAAATATAAAAATAATACTGTGCAATATATTATAATATAAAGTGGAGAACTTATAATACTGTAAAATGTTTTTGACTGTATGTGATTTACAAATGGAGAGTGCATTAACTATTGATTTCATACGACGATGACATATAGTATGAAAATGAATTCACAATGATGGACTGATACGATTTTTTAACTAAACAGTACTGCGAGACTCTGTTCAGATTCTGGCTCCAGGATACGCCCTTTGGGATGTTCACACACCGCCAACTTACACTTCTTTCGGTAGCTGTCAATACCATTTTTTCGTATTTGATTGTGTATGAGACTATTATTGCCGAAGACGGGAGAGTGATGGAAGTTGTGCGGCGCCACCAACACGACCTTTAGAAATAAAGAGTGCGACTAAACTAGAAAGGATTATTATAATGATATCTAGGAAGTGAAACGACAAACGGCGCTAAGGACGATCTCATATGCGATGGAAGGACGATCTTTTCTGGTTTCGGCTCCAGGTGCCTTGTGTAAGGGTAAAATTGGAGGCTTATATCTAAAATTAAAACCTATTATTTAATAAATCTTATATGAATATTTATTTTACTATCTTCTCTAATAAGTCATACAAAGGTTTTAGTCTGATTAAAATCATTGATTCATTATTTTGGTTAATTTTTTTTATTGTATTTGTTATGAGGGAATTTAATATTAGGTATATTGTTACAATAGTGGATTTGCTTTTGGGTAATAAAAGTTATCAATTACAACGAACTAACTGTCTTTTATTATATCACAGAGCAGAGAGAGATTTTGCTAACAGTCATAGAAAGGCGCGAAATTTACCATAGAATATACAGGATAAATTATAGACAACTTAAGTTTTAACATATATATTAACTAAAATAATAATTTTAATTAATATTGATTTAATAATGTAAATGAGAGCCTAAATGAGTGATTTGATTTAATTAACATAATTAATTAACCTAATTAGTTTACCAGTAATGACATTAGTATTTGATTAAATAAAATATGGTATTAATAATATATTTAAACTTTTCTCATCTCACTTAAATTTTGCATAATTAAAATTACGATTATCTATTACGCGCTATTAATCACTTCATACTAACACTAAATTAGTATTTACATTGTTGGATGTTATGTATATTTTTTTTAAGTCACGAACCTTTTTTTTTATTGAGGGGAATGCATTCTCGGACCTCTCCCACCATTCACGTCACTGTTAGGGTAACTTGGGGTCGCGTTAGCATTCTACCATGACTAGCTGCTACAGCATCCATCTTCCATTACATTGACACCGCCTCACAAGTCTTTATAGTAGGGTTGCAATTTCTTGCACCCAACTCGTGATTCGGCGGCATGTTCTCGCAACATACAACGCAATGTGGTGCTTCGTCACATCTGACAGATTTGTGTCCCTATAGCACACATTGCCACGGTCAACAGTGGATGAGCAAGACGCCTGTGTGTGTCCCAATTCCAAACATTTATAGCAGCGCACGGGGGCGCTTTTAAAAGAACTACCTCCACCAAACTCCATCCAATTATACACTCTCCTTCCAGAATTATATTTGCTATTGCAACCGTGCATTGTACAAGCACACTTCTTGTTCTCTATCCCCTTTCAATGTATAAATATAAAATAACGAAAATATTAAAAGCATTATGATCATTATTATCCCGCCTATGGCCTTCTAAAGGTCCAAGCACTCCCTTTTGGATAAGCGTTATTTCCAAATTATATTGTATACAAACATACAAAGAGTTTTCGTATGATCTTATTTCGTCAGCTTTTAAAACATATACACCTGAGACGAATAGTAAACTTTTGCACTGTGCGGAATCAAAAACTACTCTAAACTTTATCGCGTATTCGTTCAGTATAATGTTTCCTAGTTAACCGCACTCCGTAGTTTCTATCCAGTAATATTGTTACGGCTACGTTAAGCGAATTTTCCTATTGGAGCCACGTTAAAAGGGTATTATTAACTCAAACAATTACCTAACTATCAAACTGTGCTACTGGGCAACGAAACAATTTTTGTTAAATAACCTCATTTATACATAAAAAATATTTTTTTTTCTATAAATTATCTCTGCACAAAAACACAATCTAACATGACGTTCTGGCCTTACTTAAGACTAATAAGTACTTTAAAACTAACCCAATTTAGTAAAAAGGATTTTAAACATAAAAAAGTGTCCTATAGCACTCCTTACGGCCCTTTCACACGGCAGTCCAGTTTTTTACAGGATCCCGTTTGATGGCGAATGTGTTTATATGCTAGCGTTCACACGAGCATCCCGCATGCGGGATCCTGTAAAAATCCGATCCGGTAGAATTGTGCCATTCGGTTTTGTCACTAGAAACTGGATCCGTAGTCCAGTAAAAAGCGGGATCCCGTTTAATCACACATACATTTCAATAGCAGTGTTCACATGGCTTCCTGCGTGCGGTTTTTGCTGGACACTATTTTTTGCGGGATAGTGGAGTGGTGGCAGCCCCCGACCCGCACCAGCCGCGCGTGACTCATCTCTTCTCAAATCGCTCATAAGATTCCGAAAAATACCCAAATTCAAGCGTTGTGTCAGAATAGGATGAACCCAGAATCTTCTATTTCGCTGCCGACACCGATAATACCAAAAGAAAATTAGGAAAGTATTCACGTCCATTTCACCTGTCCATTCAACCGTGTTCATACGGCAGTCTAGTTTTGCGGGACCAGCTTTTACTGAATCCTGCAAAACTGAACTGCCATGTGAACACAGCGTCCAGTTTAGCAGGATACAGTAAAAAGCCGGCAGGATACAGTAAAAAGCCGATCCTGCAAAATTGGACTGCCTTGTGAAAGGGCCGTTACAGTCTCTATTAGGCAGTTGTCCCACCAACGGCGAGGAAATGACTAACTATCGGCTATTTTCTCGCTCAAAAAACGTACAATAGATATACATTCCGTGTAAACAAAAGAAATGCATAATATATAAATAGTTGATCGCTGATTGTAAGTGTAATCTAACGAAATAACATTAGTTTTTAATTCTTTAACAAAGACGCAATGGCAGTTCACGAGAAGATGGAAAGGATTGTTTGCTCGTAATCAAACAAAATGAACTATGTCGTTCTGCTGACTTCAATAATACTATATAGTATAATAGATATCTAGGAAATAATGTTTTAGTTGAAAGTATGAATAAGGCTTGAATTTCGGAGTCTGTTAGACTTGTTAACTGTTCGTCAGTTATAAGCAGTTTCTTCATAACTATCGTATTATTTAGATAAAAATATATTATTAAATCATGTATCAATTCCAATGAACGCGTTTCCTCAATGTATATTACTTATTATTTGAACGAGGAAAGCATAAGCTCTGGGGTTACCAGTACTTTCTACCAGCCGATTTCTATAAATTCCATACATAAAATAGATTCAAAACCTCCTTCGGGGATACCTTACCTTACCCGGACTTCTGTTTCGTTGATAGTTTATATCAAAAACATATTATGTGTCCTTCAACCTGGGTAAAACCTAGGGTTTACCAATTATTCATAACCAACAAAGCAGTGAAATGGAGTCCGAAATCTGCAGTAACCAGTCCGGAAATTGAACATAAAATTATTCACATAAAGTTCCAAACTAAAATTCTGTTTTAATTTCGCATCGTGGATTTCTGCACCGGTAATCGTTGCAGTTGATTTATTTGTCATAAACTTGGAATAACTGAGTTGCCAGCAATTAATGTGGATTTTAAAATGTTGCCAGCATTTGCGTTTATAATTTTATGAGTTCGTTCACTCAAAACAAATAATGACGATGCAATCAATTTAAATTCCGCCGCTATTCAGTATTTATTGATAAATTGCTGTTTAATTATCATAATGTTAAAAATAAATAGAAAGACTTCAGCCCTTGGTTTTGGGCTTTAGGATTTTATGACTTTTTTTAATTTTGGTTTTTTCAATCATTCTGGTTTCCTTAAAGCAGCTTAGACAAAAAATACGACAGGCTGGACTCCGGGAGTGCCGGCAGAAGTGAAAACTTGAATATTAACGTTGTGCATTTTTGATATTTTGGAATGGTTAGGGAATAGTTTTGCACGAATTGCTTTAATTATCAGTATAAAAATACTATCATTTATGTGGTAGAATACATTATTTATTTATTGCGCTATCGTACACAAACATGACAATTTATATTACATTAAATACGCCGTGCCAGCTGTCTACTCTCCATCCGTCTTACGAATTTTCGATCAGCTCACGTGTCCTGACGCGAGTTTAACATTTATTACCCAGTCAAAAAAAATGTTCAACGCCGCTAAAGAAGTTTTCACTTCAAAAATTGGTAGCGATGAAATACATGTAAAAATACGGTCTTTAAACCTATCTTAAAATCTATTTAAAATAATAGAGAATACTATGGTAAATTACAGAAGGAACTTAAGGTTTTTATAATTCATCAGAAATCGATAAAAAACATAGGCCATAAAAACTCTAGAAATTGTATCGTAGCACCTGCATCGGTTGTTACGATATCCTATAAACCAAAATGTAAAGATTGAGTGATATGTGCTAACATCAAACAAAGTAATCCCGAATAAATCTCTGTAGCCTTCAGGCCTCTAGGTATTCCACCTTTGTACCCTAGGCCTGTGACAAACCACGGAATTTCTGCGGATGTGATTGTAAAAACTGCAAAGGAAAAAAGCGAAAGCTAAATCCTTTGCTCTTTGACCTGACATTAGTGGCAGTACAATTATTATAAAAATATACCGTACCAACTATGTATGGTATGGTAAGGAGATTTTGACTCAGTTTCCGCACTTAGACTCATAATTGGTTCGTTGTGCGTAAAGTCCTGGCTAATTGAGCCAGCCTAGCTCCTTCCAGAAGCACTGAAGTCTCCTAGGAAATTCACAGGCTTCACGGAGCGACCTCACTGCTCCGAGGATTTCTGCACGTTGTTTAGCCACAGCCTCGCATTCCAGGACCACGTGTGTGACTGATTCCTCTGCTCTGAAACAGCCTCTGCATATGGGGCTGCCTGTCGCCTAGGACAAAAAGATGTTTATTAAGGAGAAAATGGCCCGTTCTTTTCCCTATCATTGTTTTGAGATTAGTTCTATTTAAGCTTATCAATTGCAGGTTAACTGCTGGCAGAGCCTTTTTGGACTGTCTGCAGTCCACACTTCGCGATCAACTATGTATAATGACTAAGTATTTGGTCTGAGCCTCATAACCCAAAAGACGCAATATATACTTTTATAAGGTTAGAGAAACAATAATCTAGTTTTATATTTACTTTTTAATCTTTCACTGGTTTAAATGTAATACAATTACTTTAATTAAGAGTCTAGTAAAATAATGTTAATGTCAAAAGATAAGTACAAAAGAAATTCAAAAGATTTTAGTACAGATAAAAATACCCTTTCTGTCGAGATAAATGATTTATCCCGCAAATAAATTACGCTGTCCGCCAGAAAATTTAATTTACTATGAAAATAAAATTTATGAAATTATAATTATGTCTAAGGACGGTGATATTTATCAAACTTTTTGTTTAATTAAAATGATAATTAGCTAATTAATTTAGTTTATTTCAGTCATATTTATCGGTGCTTTTTTTGTACTTATTATTATTTCAAACAATGAAATTTAATGCTTTTAAAAATATCATAATTTTAATGTAAATCAACTGAATTTATAATTCTGCAAAAATAACGCGTTTGACATTCGTAAATAAAACATAATATTAATATTTCATTTCAAATATTTCAGACATTTAACGAATACAAAAGTTCGCTTTTATTTTCGTATTTCAGTAATTGGTGATTCAAAAACGTTAATGAACCGAAAAATGGTTACAATCAAAGTGCTTCAATGGAAAACAGAGTAAGGCTTTCCGGGTATAAAACGTAGGGGAAATGTTTTCCCGTTTCCCTGATACGGGAGATTCATCAAATTACATAATTTATCCTACCAGACGAATAAGAAGCTTTCAGCTATCACATTATCTCTACATATCCTGTAATTTTCTCAGTATTTTTCAGATTCACCTACTTACGAAATCTTTAATGGAATTACCAATAAAATCACATCAGAGATCAAACAATTTTTTGACTTAGTTTATTTTTAATAGCTAAACTTATATTACCATAAAACCAGTGCTGCCACAACATCAAGGTTTTGGCTTCTGGTATGCCTGGTATAGTAATCTGCATACTTGATACACGCCGTCGATGTTTGGGTCTAAGAAATTCCGGTTTACTTACGGTGTTTTTCTCCAGAAAGTGTTAAATGCGCACATAGAAAAAAAATATTCGGGTATGTGTAATTCTAACGCACGACCATTGAGTTAAAAGGCCCTCACTCTAGCCACTAGGCCAACACTACTGCAAACCAATATTATATGCCCTGCGAAATTTAACGCTTCGAACTAATACATTAACTAAAATCTTCATATCCCTGCTTTCGCTGAGCCACACACAATTACCCTAAATATCGTAATGAACTTTTCTGAGCTGTGCTTTTACATTCAACATCTTTTGTCTTCAGTCACCGTGACCCCCCCCCCCTAAAACCGTGTAAATTATTATCATAATTCAATCCGGCAAAAAGTTTTCATTAATAATAAAAGTGTAATAAACATAACAAACTTGAATACATTCAAACAAGAAAACATTATTCAAACAAATTGATTAACGTTTTCTTTGACGTACCTATACCGTGGCATGAGCATGTTATGCCTCACAAAATTAACGATAGTAGATGTATATATGTTTTTTACTAGAGCTTAGTTGTAAACAAGGTGTGGTTGAGTTTCTAAACACTTATAATACAATTTCCATAGCACGTCAGTCCAATATTCTTGTCACGTTGCGGTCCGCCGGGTGACAGCACTTAATGAAGACTTCACCCCTTCACCGCTTTTTAATAGCGCTCTAAAACACGAATATTAAACAGCGTGTTTGCTTTATATTTGCATGATTAATAACCAGTTTTTTTGGTATGAATGATAACTATCAAATTCTATAACAAAAAGCAATAACTAACCTTAAAATATAATAACTACAATATTATTAAAAGGAGTCCCTTTAGGCAAGGTTCCGAAGATACTGGCAGCGTTCCCCCTTTGAATAGCTAGACTAAATCTTTGTCCGAGATAGCTGCCAGCTCTTCGGTCTCCTGTGATGTCGACTAAACTTTTTGCTATTTTCTTAAAAAGCCTTATAGCGCTAGGACCCCAGCGATCAAGGGTCTCGACACCGAATGGGACAAAATCATATTCGGAGCCTAGACCCTAGACTAGCATATTGTATCTTTGTTGTGGTTAAGTTAGGTTGTATGATATATTACATGACTTATTACATGTTTTAGCAAAATATCTGTCTCCTTTTAATACAGCGTGAAACCAATTTGGTGGAAAGAGACGAAAAAGTATATCGGTTACAAGGATTTTATTAAAGTTGATTTTTCAAGATGGCGGGATACGTTCTAAATCTTTTGATGTCGGGCATACGTGTATGTAGGTAGTATATTCTTAAAGTAAAATGACCTCATTTCCAGTAAAATGGAATAATTTTTCATCGAACAACACACTTTCGGTTTTATTTGTTCAGCTCTAAGGTGCTACTGTTATGCCTTCATTTTGGTGCGCGACACTGAAAAGATTTTAAATGCCATAGAATTATAAACTTGTAGAGAGTTAGACATTTATTTTTATTTTTTTGTTATGGTCTCATGTATAGGTTCATAATATTGAACGATAAAATATAAATTATTATAAATTATTAAAATATATACATACTTAGCTTTTTTTTAAATATTAAAAAAAAGGTACATTCCTTAAATCTTGATAAAACAACCAAAGCCTTCGCTATGAATCACTATATCTATTGGTGAAAATCGTACAGTAGTTTTTGACTTTATCACAAATAGACAGAAGCGTCAGAGGGTATAGTTTTGTAAAACGTGATATTTGGTGTTATAATTATGTGTGTACACCTACAAACGGTACAATGACCTTGAATCGCGCTAACAAAGTTATTCCGACCGCTAAGGACATATACAACTTCTCAACTGTAACCACTAGCCTTCGAGCCAACCAGTCAGTGTTTAGACTGTTCTCCTCTCTTTTGGAGCTTCTTTCCTCCACAATTTTTATATTCAATCATTTAAATTACAATACTGAATAAAAAGTAGCTACTTGTGTCATATAATCTATTGTTGAGTTAAACTATTAGACGTTAAAAAGATAACACTTAAGCCGTAACAAATACTTGTTGTAATAATATACTTGCATATATTGCATTGTATAAGTTGTTTATTATTTTTTGTAGAAATCCTCCTAATTTGTAATCAAGCAAGCAAGGTAGCATAAATACCTTATTATTATCCTGATAGTAAAAAATTGAAATCGGTCCAGTAGTAAACAATCGTTTATTTCCCATAAAAATGAGTATTGTCTTCATTTCCCGTCATATTATGGATGAATTAAATAAAACGAACAATCAGGCATATTAAACTAACATTCAAATGTCCTATTATGTTATATTATATTACATTACATTACATTACATTATATTATATTATATTATATTATATTATATTACAATATATTACATTACATTACATTACATATATTAAATTATATTATATTATATTATATTATATTATATTATATTATATTATATTATATTATATTATATTATATTATATTATATTATATTATATTATATTATATTATATTATATTATATTATATTATATTATATTATATTATATTATATTATATTATATTATATTATATTATATTATATTATATTATATTATATTATATTATATTATATTATATTATATTATATTATATTATATTATATTATATTATATTATATTATATTATATTATATTATATTATATTATATTATATTATATTATATTATGAATGAAGCCTTTAAAAATCTATAATCCGGTAGTGTCTTATGACCTATGGGAAGGTGATTAAATATTGTGATTACCTTCAATCGTATTAAATTCCACGATTGATACAGGCAAGTCTCTTAAGATGTTCTTAATACATTTCGTACTTTTTTACAGTAGTTTTTGAGTTTTTTTTATTACAGAATTTATTTATTATATTATATTACAGAATTACTCGACAAACTTTACATTGTTGTACAAATTTTAAATATTTTTAAAACACTGGGAATCTCCCCAGAAAGTACTACAAATAAAATCATACGTTTTCAGTCTTTAAACATTTTACAATTTTATATTACCCGAGTATTATCCAAGACGTCTACTTTACATTGATCTATGGTTACAGTATTAAATCGGGCGCGGTTTTCAAAGGCAATATTGCGACTTTGTGGAGCATTTATTAAACGTCCAGACTACAGGTGCAGCGGATATTAAAACTTTACAGCAGGTTTTATGTTGCGTCTGTTCATGATCGATCTCATTATGCTTAGCATATGCATGCCACATATGCAAAAACTAGTTATACTAGTATTTTGTGCAACTGGGATTATTTTGCGGGGCTAGGCTGAATGTCGAGTCAGTAATCTTTTATTTCTTTTAGAACTTACATAGTTCTTTGTGTCTTTGTTTTTTTTTTTTTCTGGGGGGGGCTTACTGATTCTTTTGTCTTTTTTGTCATTTGTAAATACTCTGTACTTGTCACAATTATATAGTATTTTTTGTTTGTCTATTATTGTATTATAATTGCAAGGTTGCCTTGAAGAATAAACTATTTCATTTCATTTCATATTATTGTATTTATTTTCATTGTATTACTCATACTTTTATAATAAAATATTATCTGTAAAACAATGCAAGGACACTTCTATACTTAAAACTTGCATTTTTTTTAAACTTGTATTTGTGAATTCATGTCTCCTTATTGATAAACAAATAAGTAACCGCACACATGACGTCATCACTATTAAACACGGACCTCTATACGGGCCTATACTCACTAGGTGAGGGTACTTGGGAATTTGTTTGCGTTGGTCAAAAGCCTTCAGGGATATTGGACAATAAATCGTTGAAATCCATAGCAAATAGTTTCATGTTTTTATACATATGTAAATTATTTATTAGAATCGATTCAAAATTTCATCATCATCACCTTGATGGCTGGAAGTTTTCCATGGTCCGTTTCACAAGGCACTTTCTTTTGCGAACTAGTAAACTGAATCAACTCCCGGTGGTAGTGATCCCTGAGAGATAGGACCTTTAATTTTTAATTTAATTTTAGTTTATACATTCGGCTTTTATCTAAAATTATATACGTATAAATCTCTTGAATCAATCTATACTTGGATCCTAGAAATACATACAAACTTAAATTAAAATTAATAATTAATACTTTTATTAATTTGTAGTAAGGTCACACGAAAAACCTTTTTAACTATGAATAAAAGTAATCTTAATTCAAGTGAGTCTGCTACTGATACTACTTTAGCATTCTGTTTCCCCTGATAGTCATGCATATTAGCACATAATATAGCTTTAAACTATGTAAATCGGTTACTTGTTGCGCCTGGCAATAAGCCAGGGCATAAATTTTCGATACTCAACATTGGTTGAATTTCACTAATTCGCACTGAATTTGCGGTCCTGATGAAATTTTCTAGGACTACGGGGAATTTGGAAATCTTAAGGTAATCGAATTAAGATTTTAAGCCTAATTTGAGACCTCTACAAAAACATGTAATATTTGTAAACTATCAATAAAAAAATACATTAACATCATCCATTATTTTTGGCCCATTTCTGGCTTCCTCCATCCTCAAACTCTACACGCATTGCGCCTTTTACATCTATTGGTGTTGCCAAGTGTTCCTTCGTTCTGACTTTGTCTGCCACTCAAAGAGTCTTCAGTTCTATCGGGACTCATACAATTCCGTTTTAAGGTAAAAAAAAAACGACCCCAAAAAGTGTTGTTGTGTTTAGCACATAAATTCATATTTTATGTTTTAAGAGCAGTGTCGGCCTAGTGGCTTCAGCGTGCGACTCTCATGCCTGAGGTCGTAGGTTCGATCCCCGGCTGTGCACCGATGGACTTTCTTTCAATGTGCGCATTTATCATTTGCTCGAACGGTGAAGGAAATCATCGTGAGGAAACCGGCTTGCTTTAGACCTAAAAAGTTGACGGCGTGTGTCAGGCACTGGAGGATGACCACCTACTTGCCTTTTAGATTTAAAAATGATCATGAAACAGATTTATATATCAGAGGCCAAGACCTAAAGACCTAAAGGTTGTAGCGCAACTGATTTATTATATTTTTTTAAGTTTTGAGAAGTTATTTCTTTTTCCTATAGGTTAAAATATATTTTAAATCAGTGTGTATATCCAAATTATCCTATATCATTTGTTTTCAGTAAATTTTGATATATTTTTCTTATTCTAAAATAAATTATATCGTAATATGTTACGCGATTATCACTCATATGTTCTGGGTCCAGTCAACTGTTAGGTATTTAAATAAATAATTGATAAATATAAACTTGTTCTTATCCTGTAATCTACTTACAACTTCTTTTTGAATGTGTGATAACTAAAAACATGTTAAATATAATTAAAGTATCGTTAATTGATTATGAAGAGCACGTGATGTTATTCACCAAGCTATTGCATACCGTTCTGTATATGCCAATGATAGACAATATTTTAAGGAACATGGAGATCACTGTCACTGTTTAGAACTATAAGGATTTGCCCAAGACAGAAATGTATTTATTTACACTTCGTTACCATAATATACAAAATCATATATATAAAAAACAAAAAAAAAGCAGGTTACATAAGTTATTAGGCAACGGGCGGCCTTATGGCTAACAAGCGATTTCTTCCAGGCAACCCTAAAATGGAACAATGAAAAAAAGCGGGTAAAGTAAAATAAGTGCATAATTAATTAACAAAAAAGAACATGTAACTATAACTAAAATTAAATAAAGAAAAAACATAAATAATAATATGTATAAACAAAAATGTAAAATTGCTAACTCTCTCCCTAAAATATGGCGAGGGGGCCGATGGCTGGCCATGCGTCATACTCGTGAATGGGTCCTACTTGTGGTGAAAAATTTAAGAATATTGTGGAAGCGGACCCATCTAAACTACGTCTGACTTTGTTGCAGGCTGCGGTGTTAGTGATAAAACTGTATTAATCCACTTAAAGCAAAATGCAAAAGCAGTACCTATAGATAATTATTGAAAATTTGAAAGATATAACTTTTTGTTGCTATCACGTATGGAATATAAATTAATGAAACGCGTTATATATAAATGATTAAAACGGTAACAGTCTCTCACAGTACACGGTTCTAGACGGTTCAATAAAATGCATAGTTTACAAGACAAAGTTGCCATCGTAACTGGAGGGGCTGGGGGTATAGGAGCCTGTATTGTCAGGGATTTTGTGAAAGAGGGCGCTAAGGTATGGATTTTTTTTTCAAATGTTTTTTCCATTAAAATCAATCAAAAATGTCGTTTTTGATTGATTTTAATGGATATCTTGATATCTTATTCTTGGATAACAAGGGTGCGTGTAAGTCTTTTAAAAAAAACGATGGGTTGCACTCCGGAAGTGCCGGCAGAAGTGAAAACTTGAATATTAACGTTATGCATTTTTGATATTTTGGAATGGTTAGGGAATAATTTGCCACGAATTGCTTTAATCACCAGTATAAAAATACTATCATTTATGTGGTAGAATACAATATTTATTTATTGCGCTATCGTACACACATGACAATTTATATTACATTAAATACGCCGCGCCAGCTGTGGTCTACTCTCCATACGTCTTACGAATTTTCGATCAGGTCACGTGTCCTAACGCAAGTTTAACATTTTTTAACCATTCCAAAAAAAATTTACAACGCCGCTAAAGAAGTTTTCACTTCAAAAACATCAATAAATAAATGTTTTTGCTGGGTGTGTGTGTGGGATTCAGGAACGAGGCTTGTTAATTCTGACATCAAAAATGTAATGATTTTGACATAAACACCATAAAGAGCTGCGCAAACGCATGTCTTAGTACTGACTTAGCACAACATCACAGTAAGACCGCTGTTACTATATTATATGCTTGATACAAGACAAAAGTTTTTGCGCCTTTGACACTATGCTTAAAACTCCTAAAATAATTACAAGGTTCGAATTTCAAAAAATGCTTACGTTATGAATAAACTGCATAAATGTAAACTTTCGAAGTATTTATTAACTGTAGAAGTCAATATAGTCTGTGAATTTTTTTATTATCTCTTCTAAGAAAAACACAAGACCATCGTGGGCTTACCATATTGAAAATGAATTAAGTATTAAGAATACAACAAAATACAGTTTGCAAGCAATAAAGATACGCTATAAGTACCAAATTAGATGGAGCGCTTCATGAGGGTGTTAGTGATGGCATGATGCTTCTTTCGTCTTTGTATATTGGCGGTGCGAGTAGCCTCGCAATATCTTATAATAATTATTTTATCGTGTTTAACGTTTAAAGAACTTAATTTCTCATTACAACAAAAAATATTTTTATTTACATGAGAAACTTAATATGTATATACAAACGAGACACGTCGCCATATATATACAGATATCAGATACAGGTGCTATAAACATATATAGTTGTTTAATCGTCATAATTTTGGTTTCTTGGCAGATTTTAGTAGTCTGTTAAAAAATTGTATCTAAATAGTGCTTTTACTATTTTATTTTGTACCCCATACTTCAGACGGTTTCACTTCGATAGATTACAATCTACCGAATAATAATACGTTAAATTGTTAGCAGTTCGTTGAGGTTCACAATCTTTCGACAGTTTACAATCTCGCGAGATAGATTACAATCTAACGGTGTTTACAATTTTACGGTGACATATCCATTCTAAGACCCATATATTACTCCCATTTTTTGTTAGTAATTATTTTATTTATTGCCAAAAACAGATTACATAACAAACACGTATCCCAGGCTCCTGACTGTATTTCAGGAGCTTGTGACGAACGTGTAAAAAGAGACGAAATCTTAGTATTTTATTGAATGCTTAAATTTTCAGTAAGTTAAATTGTTTGCCGACTAAAATGACGTGTGTGCTTTTAAACGAAAATACGAATTTAAATTATAAAACGGGGACAGATCTATATATACGAGAACTGCTTGACTGTATCTAAAGAACGAATCAATAACGCAGAGAACTCAGAGTCTTAAGCAACAGGATAACTCCTGTAACATTTTTCATTTTGTTTTGTAACACTTAAATTGTCATACATTTTAGACAGAAGATTTTGTGAAATATGCCGTAGATTTAGTACTATGTATGAAGTGGTAAACTTTAATCAATAAATAAATATGTTTTCATCATTTCGTCAACACTATGTGACAAAGGGTATTTTAATTAAAAAAGTGCATTTACACTGAATTACATTTTATCAAAACTTATAAAACGTCTTAAAAGATAGGTTTTTGTATTCTAAAAAGTTTGATTGCCATAATGAAATGTGTAAAGTATAGGACTTTTTACGAAACGAAAATATACGATGACGAAACTTGTTTTATTTTGTATTTAAATTTAGTTATAATAGTTCGTGCGAGTGTAATTAATTTTAATTATTATGATAAGAACTCATAAATATGTTTAAAGGACAAAACGGACATTAGTAAAGTCAAGTATGTAATAAATTTTCTAATATAGCCGTCTTTATTGCTTTTTTTTCAATACATTTAATGTTTTGCCTGCTATTTTCTTTTAAACTAGTAAGTACTAGGAAGTATACCATATTTTAAAATTGTACCTTAGACCTTTGTCTGTACCAACCTCGTAGTTATGTAATATGTTACTCTTAATAATCTAATATATAAAATTCTCGTGTCGCGGTGTTAGTTACCATACTCCTCCGAAACGGCTTGACCGATTGTTATCAAATTTTATATGCATATTCAGTAGGTCTGAGAATCGGCTACTATCTATTTTTCATACCCCTAATTGATAAGGGTTGTGCACCCCTAACATTTAATTTTAATTTTTTGGACGAAATTTAAATTTTTTTTTTTATAAAGTGCCATTAAAAATACATACAACCCTTAGTTTTCACCATATCATAAATGAGAATCTAAATCCTTATATAGGTACTAAATTTCAAAATAAATAAATCAGTGGCGCTACAACCTCTTTAGGACTTGGCCTCAGATTTCTGAATCTGTTTCATGATATTTTTTTAAATCTAATAGGCAAGTAGGTGATCAGCCTCCAGTGCCTGACACACGCAGTCGACTTTTTGGGTCTAAGACATGTCGGTTTCCTCACGATGTTTTTCTTCACCGTTCGAGCGAATGTTAAATGCGCACATAGAAAATAAAGTCCAAAGCACAGCTGGGGATCAAACCTACGACCTTAGGGATGAGAGTCGCACGCTGAACACTGCTCTACAGGTACTAAATATTGTTTCCCTTAATATCACCAGGTAACAATTTTAGATGTCGATGAGCAGGGAGGCAAGAATCTGGTACAGGAGTTGTCTAACCAAGGGAAGAAAGTGCAATTTATCCGATGTGACGTCAGTATCGAAGAGCATCTCCTCAAGGCTTTCGAAAACGTCATTGCTCGAGAGGGTGGGATAGACGTTGTAGTGAACAATGCAGGCATTGCTGATGAGTCCTTTGATGGATTCAAGAAAGAAATCGCCTTGAACTATGTAAGTTAATTGTTAGCACAAAACTACGAGATCTAAGAAAAAACTTCTCATAAACTCAAACTCAAAATAACTTTATTCATATAGCAAAAACTTATGAACGTCAGAAAAGAAGTTAAACTGATTCTAAATTTACATTTACAACCAGTTCGCATGTCACATAGAACGGGCAAGAAGAACTGGCATAAACCTTTCCACTACTTTTTTTAATCGCTAAGCTTGAGTCATACAAATTGTTTGAACTGGAGCATCAATCCCAATGATTCGGATCATTTAAATATTCGTCAAATTTATAAAAAGCTTTATAGATTAATTTACGTTTAACGAGAGCTTTGAATTTATTTAGTTATATAGATAATTCTTTAATTTCGTTTGGGAGTTTGTTGTAAAAACGAATACAATTTCCATATAAGGAGTGGTTTATCTTCTGGAGCCTGGTTGGTCGTACGCTCAAATTAGTTCTGTTTCGAGTATACTTAGAGTCGTAGTTATTAATTGCATTAAAGTTACTTAGGCATTGTATGTTAGCTCGATATATTCCACAAAATTTGGTTTAGCCAAATACTAGACGTATGCATTTATGGGTCCTTTCATTAGTATACATAGATTACCTTCGTATATTATTATTAGTATTCATTAGTATACTAGAGTTCCTCTTCCCCTCGGACCGCGAAAGCGTTAAGACGTGTGCTTACGTAAAATATTTTATAAAATTAAATATAATATCTTGTCCGCAAATTTGGTGAAGTACCAGGCGCCCATAACGCGCAAGAAGTCAATTAACTACGGGTGAGAAGGACAACAACAGTGAACGAAACAGTTTCGTGAGCTACGCTTTACTTTGCGTACGCGCCGATGCGACGCTAGAATAAAGCTGTGCGTGAGTCATATTAATTAATCGCTTAGTGCAATTTAAAGGCGAAAGCGGTAGCGGAGCAAAAAATAAGGGTCTGGCCCAATTATAAATTCATATTCAATTTTGTGTTTTCCCAATTAGTGAATTTATAAGATGCCAAAAGTTCAACGCTCTCCTAGGCCAATAAATCACAAAGTGTTTCTGAGCCAAACGTCGACAAAATGGAAACTTTTCACACAGACCTTTACGGTGACAATGAACCACCGAGCTATGTTCAACAACGTCAAAAAAGGGCTAGAGAGCATGGATTTGAGGATGAATTATTAAGTTTTAAAAAAGAGATGAAAGGCATGATTAAGTCATTGTTTGCGGAACAACAAAAAGAGCTTAAAAAAATAACGTCTGCCCAAGTAGAGATCAGAGAGAGTAATACCAACATAGAAAGTAGCCTTGCATTCCTCTCATCGCAACATGAAGACCTTAGGAAGAAAATAGAACAGCTTGAAGTACGTTTAAAGCAAGACAGAGAACAAATTATAATTTTAGAGGACAAGCTTGAGGAATTGCAGCGGGAACAACGTAAGGCTAATATTGAAATAAAAAATATGCCAAAACTACCCACAGAATCAAAGGAAGACTTAATAAACATGGTTGTAAGCTTATCAAAATCCCTGAATAGCGGTATTAAAAAAGATGATATCAAAAAGACATATACAGGCTAAAAGGGAAAAGAGATTCTAATAAAACGAATACTCCAATAATTGTTGAGTTATCATCCTCGATTCTTAAATCAGATTTACTAAAATCTTGTAAAACCTACAACATCAAAAAATAAAGAAAAGCTACGAGCGAAGCATCTGGGAGCTACTAAAAATGAAGAAACTCAGTGTTTATCTCCGAGCAGCTCACTGCAAAGGCGCTAGACTACACTTTCTCGCTCGCGATCTAGCTAAATCAAAAGACTACAAGTTCTGTTGGACTTCTTACGGACGTGTTTACCTAAGAAAGAATGAAAACACCCCGGTAATTAAGGTCAAAAACGAATCACAGGTACACAGCCTCATGCAGGCATGACTCTTTAACTATTGTCCTTTTTTTGTAAAATTTTTTTCTTGTTATCCCATTATTAAACAGTTTTTTCTAAAAAACAATAGTCACAAACCTTTACACTACATATACTATTTACACTCACGCACTGATACACTCACATATATTAAACACTATTCTAGTGCGATCTCACTTTATCTCATGGCTCATGGCTACAAACACGTCACAAGTGATTATAAACTTTATTCAATCTCGGCTTTACTGCGAATTTCTTATCCCAAGTAAATTATAATTTCTCGAAGTGTACGGAAAGTATCTGGTTACTCATTTATGGATAGTCAGACTACAATCTGTACGAATTAGATAACATACAAATAGCCCAATCTAATGTCCATACTATAAATGACTTTTCAAGCAGACAACCATACAAAAATCTGATTTCACGATAATATCACAAAATATAAGAAGCATTTACAATAATTTTGATGATCTTTTTAATAACTTTATCTGAGTTCAAATTTCAAGCTGATGTAATAACACTGACCGAGGATGGACGACCCACCAGCCTATACCCCAAATGGATAACTACACTCACTTCGTTACAAGCCGCCATCTAAATCGTAGTGATGGCGTAGTTGTCTACATAAAATGCAACCATAAAACTATCGTTCAAGAAATAAATTTAAAACATGCATCTTGCTTACAAGTCAAAGTAGGTAACTATACCATGTTGTGTATTTATCGCTCCCCGTCTAACCTTAACGCTGAAAAATTTTATAGATTCATTAAATAGTCACTTAGTAACTTTACAAACTCAGATAACATTATAATAACAGAGACATCAACATAAATCTAATACAAAAATCCAGTGAAACATCTCAGGAGCGCTCGAACCGATTACATTACCTCAATATGCTAGCCATGCATGGCCTGCTCCCGGGTCATACACTCCTACTCGAGTAGCAATTGCATAGATCATTTCATACTAAAACTTGATAGGTGCATAGGTACGTGTGCGTCTATTACCGTTATTGATACTACAGTTACTGATCACAAAATGTTATTCTTAAAACTTCCTACCTCCTAAGTCAATTACAATACCTCGAAAATTAAATCTTCATCACATGGAAGGCGCTTTAAGTTATTTAAAAACACAACATAAATGATCTAATTTACTATAATAACCCTATAATCTTAACTAATAAATTAATATCTATTTTAAAGCAGTGTTTCAATCCAATACTATCACTAGAGCTATCCCGAATGGAACGCCTTATTAAACCATGGATTACCTTAGAATTGTTGTGTTTCGTAATAGAAATGCTATGCCAAAACCCGAGCTATCCTCATAATGAAATTCTTAAAATTACATACAGGAGATATAGAATTTCTGCAATAGTTTAATAAAGAAAGTCAAACGTAAATATGAAAAAAAACCTTGCCAAATATAAAAAACCCAAAAACTTTGTGGAAGAAAATAAATACCCTCACTTATCGTAACCAACCTAAACAAAATCTAAATTACTAAATTTAAATGTTTCTCCTCAAAAATCGGTTAATTTGGTAAACATTTTTTTCAAACATTGGTAAAAACTTAGCTAAAGAGATAATTCCAGTTACGACGTTACATAATAGAACAGATGTGATTAGACCCAACTGTTCCCAGGTCTCGTCTTTTGTGCTTCTAGAAACTGACCCTCATGAAGTATACCTACTATTGTGAGTCTCAAAACTGACAGTGCTCCTCTGGGATGGTATAAGCACCAAGTTTCTTAAATATACTAGGGAGCTAGTTGTGCCCATAATTACTCATTTGGTTAATCTCTCTTCCGACAGGAGTGTTTCCACCTCGCTAAAACAACAATTATTACACCTGTGTACAAGAATGGTAACAGAGAAGATGTTTCAAATTATCGCCCAATCTCCGTTCTCACTGCCATATCAAAAGTACTTGAAAAATTAATTAATAAAAAGACTAATTACCTACCTCCAGAAGTATAGTCTACTTTCGGACTCACAATTCGGTTTTAGACAGGGTCTGTCAACCGAAGATGCAGTTACCTCACTATCTTGTCATATTGTTAATGAAGTTGATAAAGGTAATAAATGTATCACAGTTTTTATCGACTTAAAAAAGGCATTTGATACGGTTTCTGTCCCTATTCTGGTGCAGAGACTAGAGAACATTGGTATTAGGGGTATTCCACTCACATTGTTCGCTGATTACCTCAGTGAACGAAAGCAACAGTTAAAATAGGTCAATACATCAGCGAACAATCTGACGTCACATATGGGGTCCCACAAGGTAGTGTTCTGGGGCCGACCTTATTCTTAATCTACATAAACACTTATGCGATTTAAGAATTGATAGTGGGAAAGTCTACTCCTACGCGGATGACACTGCTGTTGTCTTCACTGGGAAAACTATTGACTCGGTGCGCCGACTACAGAAATAGGGCTTTCCAAAATATAACTGGTTAAGAGAAAACTTATTATCATTAAACGTAAGTAAAACTAACTACATTTTCTTCACTAAATACAATAGCGCCCAACCTCAAACAGATCTAGAAATAAAAATACATAACTGTACACCAGAGTAAACTGTACATGTAAAACTATAAATAAATTCATCACACTAAATATCTAGGAGTGGTAGTTGATCAAAGAATGTCATGGCATGAGCACCTAGAACAAGTTATAAGTAGGATTCGAAAGCTTATTTGGACATTTAAAACTCTAAGGCCATCCTGACAAACATCTACTAATACAGATATACACATCGCTGGCTCAGTCAATTTTAGTGTACTGTATCCCAGTTTGGGGGGTGCTACAAAGATGAAGTTCCTGGATCTGGAGAGGGCACAAAGAATTTTACTAAAAGTAATGATGTTTAAGCCTTATAGATTTTCCACCTCTGATCTTTATGCCTCTTGTGGTGTCTTATCGGTCAGGCAACTGTACATTTTTGCACTACCTTAAGATTGCACAAGTCTCTTAAATATGATGGTCGCAAACTGAGCAAAAGACGCAAATATACTGTTGCTCCTGTTGAGAGATCTAAATCAGTTTTTGCTATGAGACAATTTCAATGCCAAGCTGCTAAACTTTATAATAAATTAAATAAAAATATTATTATATTATAAACATGAATGTAAAACGTCGCTACTTAACATCCTAGAAACATTTAGCTATGAAGACACTGAAGCCTTTTGTAGGTAATCATGAATCATAATACACTAGTAATTAGTCAACTTCTACAATCAGTCATGAAAATTCATTCTCATAAACACACAAACACACACACACACATACACATACACACATATATCATTATTCACATTTTAACCTTAGATTATGTTTAGTAAATTGTAAAATTGTAATACTTAGCTTAGCTTATACGTGTTAAATTAAATTATAATTAGTTGGTACACCTATGTAATGGAAGAGCGGGTTCTCCTAACACAAGTGCTTATGCGCTTAAAAGGAGGTCCCAATCACTTATCAGCTATTGTAAAATCCTTGAGATAACGAATAAAATTCTTTCATTAGTATATATAGATTACCTAAAGATTCCATGCGTACCAAGGTCCCGTTCGTCCAAGGTCCCATGCTCTCAGATCCCATGCTCTCATGCCAAGGTAAATGTGTATTAATTATTTTCTAACTTCATTCACCTTGATGACGTGTTAGCATGTTTTTCTCGCAGTAAATGCATGTTTCACGTTCACCGCGCCATGCTGATATTGGTGATCAGCCTCACACTGAGATGAGCTTACAAACATTTTGTCAAAAAACCCTTAGCTTCTTCTCGTCCGTTGTATGCCGTTGATTTGAGAACTGGCAGTAAATGTAAATTTAGAAACATGTTGTACCTACCTTTCTACCTGTAAGTGATATTTTAAAAATATGACCGTCGAGGCTGAAGTGAAATCACCAGCAGGTCATTTTACTTTAGCGGTCCTATGAAACTTCACATATAAATTTTTACCAGAAGAAATAAATAAATAAATATGATTGGTTTGTTTAGACAGGTGTGATTTCCTCAACGATTAGGGTAATGGAGATAATGCGTAGAGACAGAGGAGGCAAAGGTGGAACCATCATCAACGTATCATCTATTCTGGGAATGAAGAGATATTGTCCAGGTCTCTACGTTTATGGTTCGATTAAAAATGCCCTCATACATTTCGGCAGTTCTATTGGGGTATGATATTAATTAATAATGTTTAATTATTTTTTAATGGACATATTCGATTTATTTTGTGAAGCTCTCTCTTAAAAGTACATAATTTTTAATTTAAAATGCACTTTGACCTAGCTAAACACGAGGTATAAGCTGCTTCTTAATTACGTAAGCAACTGAAACGCATTGATCTTGAAATTTCATCATCTGCAAACTGACATAACAAACAACAGTATCACATCGAACAGTAGACTGTGGTATGGTAGAAATTATATAATTCAATAACATCATGTCTTATACTAAAATTTAAAAAAAAAGTGCGTGCGTACAAAGTACACATGTCAGAAGTGAAACTTCTTTGGAAAACTAATTCTTAAGTCTTGTTCATATTTATACAAATCTAAAACATTAGATTTCCGAGACTTAAATGGAGGAAAAAAAAGGTTAGATATGTTAGGAATTTAATGAATTTGATTGTCATTGAAATATTAAAAGTGTCTAAAATTCATACAAATTATAATTTATTTTTTTAATTTATTTCTTCGATAATAAAAACACGTGGCATTTTAATTTACAATTCGTAATTTGAGATTTCGTCATATTATTTTGCATAAAATATAAAATAGGTACTAACGTTTCATAAATTCTCTTTAGGAAATTTTAATTTTAAAAATACAGTTTCTATAAGGTAATACGCTCTTCTCACTCTCTCTCAATCGGTCTCAATCGCTCTCTCCCTTTTCTTCGACAAAAACACTGCACATCTTCGTGACGCTAATATTATTATTATTACGTTTCATCCGTAAAAAAATTACCCTCATGCGCATAAAGAAGTTTCACTTTAAAAAGTACGTGTAGTGTAGGTGTACTACAATTATTAGGTCGTTACCTATACCTAATAGGTTCATACGAATTTGTACTATGAAATGTTAATGAAGCTGTTATGATGATAAAAATGAAAACGTTAAGAAGAAGAACGTACTTTGAAGCTTAAACTTCTTCAGCGGATACAATGCGAAGTGCATTTTATCCGCGCAAACGTTAAGTTATATGTATATCTCAGAGCAATGGCATTACTGTCAGCTGCCACTGTCATTATGTCATAGGGCTTATAAATTAACAACGTTAAAGTCAAAACAGTTTATACAGTAGTTATAGTAGTAGTTTATTTTTATTAAATATTGTTTGGTATACTAATTAACGACTATTCAATGGTCGATAGAAATAATAATGACTTTGTTCACAAAACAGAAAAAAAATTAAAATTATAAAAATGAAGACAAAAAAATATATAGTAATAGCAATATCGATGACTTTTATTCATTCGTCTATGACTTTTTTTCAGCTCATATTACTTGAAAAATAACTTAACGTTTAAAGTTTATTTGTACATAAATAACAGTTTGTTTCGCTTTATCAAATTTAAGTAAATATTAACAGCTACGTTACAATGAGACGCAAAGTCAATCCTATTCATGTTTCAATCACGTTGTATTTCCAATCAAGAAAAATTAAATTTTCTTAAATAAGTACAACCATACTTAACTGTTGAACCATTTCAGATGAAAGAATATTTTACCCGAACTAATGTACGAGTTATGACGATGTGCTTTGGCATCACCAATACAGGCATTCTTGAGAATTCTAAAAGCTTCGATGATCAAATACGACGTGAGTTTGAACAAAGGTTACAGTATGCCTTAGCAAGAAACGCTGGACAAAGGTAAAGAGATTATCTGTTATAATGATTATGAATGTGCCAAAATCAAATTCTTAGTATAATAAAGCGTTAGAATCAAATTCTAATACACCACAAACAATTACAGACAGTCTCCAAAGAGCAGTTGTATAAACTTTCTTATTAAAAGTACTTAATATTTTTTTAAGAATTGTCAATATAAGATCTAATTTGTATTTTAAGCATACAGTCAACATTGACCCATTAAAGGAGACAATCTATTTAAGGAGACTACGTGGGTCTACGCCTGTTACCCAAGGTCTTTTAATGTCGACACATTTACTACATATGCTATAATATGGTTATCTGGTCCTAAGGGTACCATAATATTAAAAATTTTGAAGTTTCGCGTATAGTTTGCCCTAATCATTGTAACTAAACGTTATCTTATATTATACATATTTTACTTCTTCAAATATTCAAAATAAACTGGTTTTTAAAATAAATAAATTTGTAAATTAAATTGGTATTATCATAGCATTCAGGTTCCAATCGTTAACTTAACCGCTATATATTACAAAAAAATTAATAAATTGTAAATTATGTTATTTACAATCAAGTACACAGTATTTACAATTTTCTTAACCTACAAAGTAATAATTAAAAAGAAAATCAAAACAAATTTAAAAAGTTTGGTCCCCGTGGCAGTGTACCTAAAAATGTAAATTTCTTTTGCAGTGCGGAAGATGCCGCTAAGGGAATAGTGGAATGTTTCAAGAACGGCGAAAGTGGAAGCACTTGGCTGGTCAATAAAGGTGTTATTACTGACATTTCGAATGATGTAACAAAGGCTTATGATATTCTTAGTGAGAAAGTCATCACATAAACATATATATTGTTTTATTTAATTGTACACTAGTAGGTCTACAATACGACGCGTGTTTTCCGTCTCCTGCAGGCAGATCTGAATATAAAACAATTTGTATTTGCAGCGCATTGGTTTTCAATTTTTTATTTGCAAAATTGTTAATGAATATATATAATATGAAATTTGATGGTTCATCTTTTAGTCCATTTTAAGTGGGTTATATTTTTTTGGTATTTGTCAATGGCAACCTCTCATTGACCATTACTGTGTGTAAGCAAAGAGCGCCGTCTAGCTAAAAAGCAAAAATACATTGTATACGTTTATAATTTTACTTATTCATATCGTGTATGGATTAAAAAAACAAAAAAACAAAAAAAGATATATCAAATACAAACAAAGATACAAAGGTTTTAGTTAGAACTGTGCCGTCCATTTTGGTTTTTATTATATCTTTTATGATTGTAGTTTTACAAATTTAAATGGGAAATAAATTGTTTAATCTTCGTTCTATTAACTTTTTCCTTTTCCAACTTTTTATAATACTAATAATTTATTTGCAAGAATATGGTATAAAAATATAATGATGGTACAATCTAAACTTCGCATATTCTGCCACACATAATGGTGTGCAAATTTCTCTTAAAAGGTAGAATTTTAAATAGAAGTTACAATTACATATCATTTTAGACAATTCTTATATTTTTTTATCACATTATTAATATATATTATTCAAATTTATATTAATTATAATGTTTCACGCAAATAATCAATAATAGATACATTGTGTGTAGATTTTTTTAAAAGTTGTAATAAGTTTCAAACAATATTTTAATTTAAACGTTTACTTCATTTACTGCTTTTCGAAAGCAATCTTTTAATACTTAATGTGTAGGAAAAAGTTTGACAAAGAAGAACCTAAGCCACGTATAATAGCTATAGGTATAAACTAAATTATGTTTTAGCAAAGATGTTCCATGGGCCAAATCATTTATCCTTAATGTGTCCAAGCTGTCTCATCACACAACTTTGATAAATTCCGTCGTCAGTTATATAGTGAAGTTGTTCTATGAATATTAAATTCGAAAGTTGTCAAACTTCACGATGTCACGCTCAAAGTTGAGGAAATTCGTAACTACGGACACTGCGGAGCTTAGTGAAGTTTCAAAGTTCAGAAAGAAGTTTATGTGGTCGTTCAAAATTTGGTGTCATCAGCTTGTACAGCGGACGCAACACTTTAAGTGGTATTGTACTTATCTTTTATAGAGTTCGTGTAAATAATTACTGTTTATATTTCATTGTGCGGTATACCATATATACCAGTGGTGCTACACCTTTTAGCCTTAGAGTGCTGTATGTGATCGTAAGTTTTTGAAGTGAAACTTCTTTATCGGGGTTGGAAAAAGGGTTACTTTCCTCCTTTTAATTTTCTTCCCCCCCTTTTCCCCCCTTTTTTTTTTTTTTTTTTTCTCCCAACCCCAATTTAGTGTAACCTTTTTGCTCGCTATTTTTCCTTTCGCCGCTTTTTGTTTTTAAGTTAAATTCTTTTTCGGCGTTTAAATTTTTATTTTTTTTTTTTTTTTTTTTTTTTTTTTTGGGCGCCTTTTTTTTTTTTTTCGATTTTTTTTTTTTTTTTTTTTTTTTTTTTTTTTTTTTTTTTTTTTTTTTTTTTTTTTTTTTTGGTTTTTTTTTTTTTTTTTTTTTTTTTTTTTTTTTTTTTTTTTTTTTTTTTTTTTTTTTTTTTTTTTTTTTTTTTTTTTTTTTTTTTTTTTTTTTTTTTTTTTTTTTTTTTTTTTTTTTTTTTTTTTTTTTTTTTTTTTTTTTTTTTTTTTTTATCACCTTAAGGATAAGAGTCAAGATGCTTATAATCTCTATATAAATAATCTCTATACAAAGTCTGGTCTGTTTTGATGGTTCATTTATTCATAAATTCATGCTTAATTTAACTTCCACTAACGACCTGACTTACGCATGTCTTCACTGCGTATATGACAAACAAAACACGTAAAACACTATGTTAAATATATCCTACCGGTACAAGTGTTACACCTAAATAAATTAGCAAACAACGCAAATATTTTAATTATAACCAATTTTATATATAGCATAACAGTTATAATTAATCAAAAAGATCACTTCCAAATCCATTACACGAGTATACATATTCATAAATATTAAATTTATGAATCAACGTGGGTTTGAAACTAATTTTCAACGAACGTAGCAAGTATTTGATTAACAACAGAATTAATGTTTTGATACAAGTCTCATTACTATGTCATCAGATCCATAGGATGTGTCCGAAACGAAACAAATGCAGACCAAAGGTTGACGCAAATTTTTAATCATTTTCATTATTACAGCAGAGCTTATGGAAGTACTGAAGACCGGGTAGGTCGTCTTTCGCTAAAACAAAATCGTTTTAATAACAAATAAAAAATCTTAGTTTTGGAGATTAATCTATGCAAACAGACTAAAGGTTAGGTACCAAATTTTACTTTTATTCTGAAAGTCAAAATAAAGTGTTAATTAGTACTTAATAATGTTATCAATTAAATACATTACATTTTTAAGTACGCAATGTGTTTCATAGGACGACGTTGCTACGCAGCTCGCTATCTGAATTTTCCTATGTTAAAGAACCACAATAAAAAGCCTTCGAAGGTATAAAAACCTAATTTAAAATATATTCTAAAATCAAATTAGGTCAAACACGTATAAAATCTTACAGGTCAACGGTCTTTGGGCATGTATTTTTGGACGTACCCACTTTAATATATTTCAGAAAGAAATATAATCAAAGCTGTTATTTTGACTGGCCGTGTCGGATTAGTGGTTAAACCACTCTGAACCTCACAGGAACCTGTGGGTTTTTGGGGTCCCCCTAGCTGTGTTTGGGAATATTATTTTTAAGTGCACGAATAACACATAGAATGTACCATATCTTTCGGTACAGGATAACATCGTGAATAAACTGGCGTGGGCAGGATAAGATTCAAAGCCGAGATTTATAAGTATGACTTCATATGTCAAAATCCATTACGTATCTATATATATTACTAGCTGATCCGGCAAACGTCGTTTTGCCATGTATATCATTTATAATAAAAAATAGGGGTTGATCGTAGAGGGGGGAAAAATATTGTGTGTTTTTTTTTTTTTTCCCCCCTTTCTTATAAAAAAATTTTTTTTTTAAACCCCTTTTTTTTTTTTAAATTTTTCCTATTTTTTTTTTTTTTTTTTTTTTTTTTTTTTTTTTTTTTTTTTTTTTTTTTATTTTTTATTGTTTTTTTTTTTTTTTTTTTTTTTTTTTTTTTTTTTTCTATTATGTACACAATTTCGGGAGATCGGTTACTCAAACACGAGAATTTTATATATTAGATATATTATGTATTTTCGGCAAAAGTCTCGATGTTTTACCCAAACATCGAGGGTGTGTACCGGACACACAAAGCTGATTAGTAATTTATCTATGAATTAAATTTGTAAAACAAATGCAGATAGATACCTAAGCTAAAGACCTATACAGGGATTTTTAACGTGTTAGTTGATTTCTAGCTTTGCCCGCGTGGATAAGATGTACTTTGGCAAGGTTTTTAACTACTTCCTCAACAAAAATAGTTCTATTTCAGTAAATTTACGTAAACCATGATTTATTATACACTTAAAACTTCTTCAAATAGTATTCTATTAAGTATTTTTTTGCTTCAGTTGTAACCTATATGGATTATAATTATAACTGGTGTATTCCGTGAGATGATTTTAAATTAGTCCAGCCACGTACAGTCTATTTATGCCGTGCAACCAATAATGTTTTGAGTAATTTAACTGTCAGTTTGTAATTAGCTTCTGCCAGACACTTTGCGATGCCAACGCCCTGAATACAAATATTTACGCGAGGAAATTTTTTAACTAAATAAAATTACTAGAAAACTTACTTAAGGAGAGTCTTGTACTTTTAAAATCTTAGTGTATTTGCTGTACAAAGTAAAAACCTATTTTACGAGCTGTCTTGATATGCGAAACTGAATCGTGAGGGCGTTTCAATACAATGTCAAATCAATAGTACCGAAAAGCTTAGCTAATGAAGTATCTTATTATAAGCTAAGATGAGCTTTTAGTTTGAACTACACGCTTTTAACTCCAACAATACTTACAGCAGAATAATTCTAATAAGCCGTTGTTCTTAATATGATTTGATTAGCCTTTCGGTACCACAGAACTAATTAAATGAATTCAATGAGATGTCTATTAATCCATTAGAGACCATTAGGTGCGACCATAGACATTAAAGGTAGGTATTTAGATTCGATGATATTATTCTTAATTGTAAAAAACCTTATTATGTATTCTTAATGATAAAACAAAGAAATAAGCTACGCTATTCACAGTTGGTCTAGAATAGCTAAATCTCGTAGGCTTAATGGCCAAGACTCAAGCGACGAATTAAATACGTATTAAAGCATTATATCATCAGCTTAATTAAGATTTCTCTGCGACAACAGTAAAGGAACGATTCATTTGCTTAATTCCAGACTAATTTATCTAAGCGTTTTTTCTTAGTGAAATAGATGCGAAAAGTTTGAAGTGAATTCTATTAAGTGAAAATTCGGTCGAATTGTTTTCCATTTGATTAGTTTAATTTAAAACTTCATACAATTGGATAGGTTGATGACTTACAAAAGTAATATTAAATGTCTGGTTATTACCAATGGGCTGATTCTATTTTATCAATACTTAATAAATTTGCCAGAGGTCAACGGTCGAGACCTTAATGTAAAAGACAATGTTGGTAAATATTATTACAAAGATAGGTGGAGCTCACGATTGAAATTCATATCATGTGAATGTTGAGGTTATTCTATTAAATACACGGGCTGACACCACGTGCTTAGTGAGATGGTTAAGAAGAAAAGAAAAAAAAACATTGGAATTCGTTTTCTAATGTTTGTCAGTTGACAGGGGTAAGTCAAAAAGAACAGGGTCTTCCCGTAAGAGACTGTAAGTCTGATTGAACAGTT